CCACGCCCCCCTCGTCCCCTGGCCCTGGAGAGCGCGGCCGGCTGGCTCGGCTCGGTGCAGAAGCGAGACTGTGCCGGGCCCGCAGCGGGACGGGCGGGCCCCGACCCCGGGAGTCCGGGAGAGCCCTCCCCCAGAGGTGGTGGCGCGGAGGCTGAGCGCGGAGCACTGCGACGCCAGTTCGGGCGGGCGGGATGGGGAGAGGAGTTCTGCGAAATGCCGAGCCCCGAGGGCCGGGTCGCCCCGTCGCCCCTTTGGCCAGGGTGCTCCCGGGGTTTGGTGAGGTGCGCCGCCGGGGACTGGCGCCCCGTTTGCGCCCTTACTCCAAAAAGCAACCCAACTGTGACAGCGACTGAGGCGAAGGGAGCGAGTCCAACACATTGAGCAATCCGGCCACGGAGCCAAAAAGCCACTTCCCACACCGCCCCGCCGGGGCTGTTCCCGCTGCGCGGCCCGGCGCTCGGGGCCGGGGGTGACGGGGCCCGCGCGCTCCTCCCGGCCCGCGCTTTCCTCCTGCCTGAGATGGGGCGAGGCGGACCGAGGGCCAGATCCTCCGGGCGCTTTCCGCGCATCCCGAGGTCTTAGCGGGGCTGGGGGAGCGGACTGCGAGAGGGGCGCTCGGGCTGCAGGACGGACCGACCGCAGACAGACAGCAGTCCTCTCCGGCCAGGGCGCAGCGCCGGGCAGCTGGCAGCGACAGCGCGCCTGGCCGGGAGACCCCGGCTCGCGCCCACGGAACGGGTCGCAGTCGGGTCGGGCCGCGCTCCCTCTCCCTGCGCGCCGGTCAACACCCTTTCCAAACAGAGCGGCTGAGCGCAGCTGTTTCCGAGCCAAGGGGACGCCGCCCGCTCGCCGGTGCTGCCGGGCTAATCTCACGCGGAAACCCCGATTTCTACGGGGACGCACGGGGTACGAAGGGGGTGCGCTTGGACGGCGCCGGCGTGGCGGGGGGCGGCGTCGGGGAGCAGAAGAGCGGCGGCCCGGGCTGAAGCGGCGCCGGGTGAGCGCCACGCAGCCCACGGCGGCCAGGGGCGAGGAGGGGCAGGTCCAGCCGCCCCCAGCTCCCGGGCGCGGGCGAGGTCGCAGGCCTCTCACCTCGCTGTCTTACCTGCAGCCACGGTCGCCGAGTCCCTAACTCCCCCAGCGCTTCTCGGAGACCGTGCTCCTCCCCTGTTAGTCGCCGGGAGCCAGCGGCCAGAGCGCAGCCTCTCTAGTTCGCCCCGCAAGGAGGAGGAGAGACGAGGCGGGCGGGGGTGGAGGCCACCGCGCACAGCCCGGGCCCCTCGGAGCACAGCTCGAAATTCCTTAAGTCCCAGTTGCTGGAATGCGCAGCCACGACGACTTCATCACTCGGGGCCAAATGTGTTTGTCATTACGCGGGACCACTCGCCCGCGCCGCCGCCGGCGCCCCCGGGAGAGGCGCGCGATCCCAGCGCTCC